TTGCTAGTTTTATTTAAAAAAAAAAAAAAAAAAAACACCCCCCCCCCCCCCCCCCCCCCCCCCAGAAAACATTACACACAGGCTTTTGGGGCCCCTGCAGGTCTAGTGCCCCCAGGGCTGATGCTCACTTCTAAATAAAATGATGTCATGTAATAATAACCAAATAACACAATACGATAAAACATAATTAAGTTATTTAAAGTTGTAGTTGTAGACTGTCAGTACTGTCAGATTCCAGTGACAGTGTTCACCAAAGACCTAACCCTCCAGCCCTTTGTTGTTGTTCTCACGCTAATGTGCGAGATCCGTAGACCAGACTCAACTGCGCGGTCACATTCCGCCCCGACTTCCCTTCTGCCAGCGGCCTGGTGGTTTGAGATGAGTAGAAGATGTCGGTTTCGGGTCTGAAGGCCGAATTGAAGTTTTTGGAGTCCATTTTTGACCCAAACCACGAACGATTCAGAATAATAGACTGGAAACCAGACGAACTCAGTTGCCAATTCAACGTAACAGGAGAGAAGCCGCTGATCATTCACTGCAACATCACGGTGAGTCCAGGCCACAAGCTAACCACCGACTATCGACTGGAACCAAATCATTCCGCGGAAGGTTCCGTGTTTACAAATTAACTACGATTTCAGTCTTCACTTTTTATTTTCATGTCGTGTTTGAAGCCACCAATATTAAATAAACCGTGTGGATTAAAGAAAACAACACAGCACTATAGTGCTAAATGTACTTTGGAAAAGTGTAGAAGAATACGTCGTTTAGGAACGACGCTGCGGTAGCTCTCTGCTAGCCTGTTAGCTCGCCTTGTTAGCCTAAATAACTGCTACTGTTTGCTACAGCTGCTAACTTTCAAGTTACTGAACTGAACCCCTATCTAATTTAATGTTAACATTATTTAACGTTTCACAACATCATGGCTGTTTTAACAAAAATACATTTAATAAGAACGCATTTATCTACACAGGCATACGGCTGAATGTTCCCGTTCATATATATTAAATAGAGGCGGTTTAATGGAGTGTTGTTCCACTGTGTTTTTGTGCCTTTTCAGTAAATAGACGGATCCCTGTGACGAACGTAAAATACCACTTCACGGTTTTCTTTATCAGGACACCAAACTACGTAGAAAGCGACATAATGACGACAGCAGCTAGTGTTCACTATATTATACTTAACAACTAAGAATGTGAGCTTAGCTGTAAACGTATTATGATTACGTAGATTTCATTTTTTAACATGTATTTCAACACCAACTCTTTGAAGCGGTATGTATACATTATCAATATTGTAAATAATATTGGCGCGTGTGCAGAACGCATTAAGTCAACCGTGAGGTTGTGTAGGTGATGTCACTAACAACTGAGGCTCACTCTTTGTGTCACTGCAGCTGTATTTGTATGGTTCAGGGGGTGCAGATCACTCACACACACACACACACACACACACACACCATCCTGACATCCTGACCACATCCTCCTCTCATCCACACACGCAGTTGCACTTCTGCTCGATTTTTGAGACATAGACATGGCCTGTTAAAATGTTTTTATAGGTCATGACGTGTCGAGACTCAAGCTGTGTCAAGTCGTCCGCATCGACGCAATCTCTAAGATGTCAGAGTACATTCAGTAATCGCAATATGAATTTAGGAAATAAGAAGTGAGTAAGTCAGTCAATCCGGTACCCCAAGCTCTGCACATTTCCCATGTCTGATTAGCTGGATCATGTGTGGTCACCACCCACCTGATTTAGACAATCAGTTATAAGGAGAGCAGCTAGAGATACACCGGCTTGTATGGGGCCTCATCCAATGTGAGTGTCTTCTTTGAATTTGGCTTCATGATGATTAGTGCTGATAGAGAGATGGCTGAAATGTTGAATAGCGCTCAGTTCAACACACAAGTCATGATTATGCCTCCACTTTTTCTGAATGCTCTGATACACGATGCTTGGCGCTTGACAACGCATACGTGTCTGAAAACCAAACAATGATGCCACAATCGTCATACAAGGTAATTAAAATCAAATTAAACGGTTATTGCACAGTACTTTAAACCCTACGTGACTAACATCATACTTATACAACTGCCGTTTGTTGGTAAATGACTTTTGTTGGCGAGTTGTAAACATGGCAGTCTTTCCTGTTTCTGACAACCGGTCCTTATATTACATGACACTGTATTCTACACTCCTACAGTCATGACCAACCCATCTGTAACCTTATACTGAAACATCACCATTGCTGTATAACTAAGTGCAGTATTTTCCATTCTGGAATTTGGACATGGGATCCTTACCACTAAAAAATGATTACCAGTACGCTACTTACCGTACGTACCACACAGCTTGAGCTCACTTGATGGACAACTATATATATTTTACTTCGACTTTACCATAATCTCCTGGAATGAAGAATTGGCCCTTTATCATTCATTCTGTTGCATCTTCAGTCATCAACTGAAGGTTGAACATTATTTAGGAAATATATTAAGATTGAAGATACAGCACTGGAGATACTCCCGCCCTAAAGCTGGCAAATCATTTTGTTCACTGGGTATCGATGTGGGCTACGGCATTCTGTCTGAAATCCTTTATAGCTTTGAGATATCCCTAGACAACATTTTGGTTTGGTGGTTCTCTGTTAAGTGTTAATATACAATGTGTAGACAATAAAACCATTAATGTGCAAGCATGACTTGCTAAATTTCCATGTCCCGCTGTTTACTATGTTGCAGGAATCTTATCCCTCAACACCCCCAATATGGTTTGTTGACTCCGATGATCCGAGTCTGGCCGAAGTGTTGGAGCGCTTAGAGGATGTGAGAAAAGGCAGCACATTGGTAAGTTGGCTGATGTGGATCCAGCTTCAGAATGAGAATGTGGACAGTGGAAACTTGGTAGAATTGTTTAATCGCAGTAATTGATGTCTTGTCTTCATGATTCCACCCGCAGCTCCTTCAGCAGTTGAAGCGCCTCATCTGTGATCTCTGTCGGCTTTACAACCTGCCACAACATCCAGATGTGGAAATGCTCGACCAGCCTCTGCCCACTGGACCGATTACCCAAGAGCGAAAGGTACTCACTTGAAAAAGAGTCAAATGTCTGTGTATTGCATTTTAAAACTCAGTGTTTGTCAACTCACACCGTTTCTCATCACTGCAGCATGGGCCGTCAGATGAGGTGACATCTGAAGAGGAGGAAGAGGAAGAAATGGGAGAGGTACCTATGTGTATTAATGACAGTTCACTGCATTCATATGCTTCATAGCTTACAGGTGCACTTTCTTTTACATCCTGTTTCTAAACACAATTGATACGCTAACAGCAGGACATTGACCTGGACCAAGACCTGGACCATTACGACATGAAAGAAGAGGAGCCAGTTGATGGGAAGAAGTCAGAAGATGACGGGATAGAAAAAGAAAATCTGGCCATCTTGGAGAAGATTCGTAAGAACCAGAGGCAGGATCACTTGAATGTAAGCGCTCATTGGGGTCTTTTCTTTTATTTAGTTTTGGTGACTGTAATGTTACACATTATGTTCGCTGAGAAGGTCGAAACACTGTACTTCAGCCCGAATAATGTTCACAAACTGTAACTACCACCTGAAAATGACACGATAGGAAATGTTGATCGCTGGACACAAAGTCTCATTCTTTATTCCTTCTGTCAGTTTCATCGTGTTCAGATCAACACTAACACTGCTTCCAAAATGCAGACTCATCGTTCCTTTCACTGCTGACACTGTGTGGCTGCTGCCGCAGAGAGAAAAGCAAGGCCGCCCAGCAAAAAGTTTAGTTTGCATCGGGCAACGCAGAGGATAAAAGATGTCAGCTGAAACCAGGAACAAAACACCAGGCAATAGTCGGTTTAATTATCCAACGTTAATTGCTGAATTTATTCAGATAATATAAAGGTCAACATCTTAAAATAGCTTTTATTGGAACACTTCATGATCTAACGTTTCTCTTATGGGCTCATAGAAGAAGAGTTTAGGAACTTGAAAATGCTCAATTGTAACATTGTCGATTGACAGTAGATGCACAGGACCTCCACCTCGGGATGTCTATAGTATTCTGTGTCTTTTATTCGTCCCGGTGTCTTACTGTCGGTGTGATTTGTGTTGCAGGGTGCAGTGTCTGGCTCTGTGCAAGCCTCAGACCGCCTCATGAAGGAACTCAGGGAGATCTACAGATCACAGAGTTACAAGACAGGTGACTACAGTGACACTACAGTGATGACTTTTAACGTTTGAACATCTCATCGGCAGATTGAAGTAAAGCTCTGTGTTCGTGTGTTTCGCAGGTATTTATTCATGTGAACTAGTCGGTGACAGCCTTTATGAATGGCACGTCAAGTTAAGGATGTAAGTGCCCACATTCATTTGCTTTTACATTTTCAAATAATGTGTTAAATGTAGTTTTTCCTGTTAGATTTGACTTGTTGTTCTGTATTACAGGGTAGACCCAGATAGTCCGTTACATAGTGACATGCAGGTCTTAAAAGAAAAAGAAGGAGTGGACTACATTCTGCTCGATTTCTCTTATAAAGTGAGTCCTGTCATAATATTTGTCAATCGTTTTATTCGGGGAAAAGAGTTTTCTCGAGACTCACGGTTTGTTTGTTTTTCTTCACATGACAGGATAATTTTCCTTTTGACCCACCTTTTGTCCGGGTTGTGTCCCCTGTGCTCTCCGGAGGGTGAGTGTGATCTCCTCTGTTTGCAAATGAAATGCTCTGATGACAGTTCAGTCCCTGGGACCTGGTCCACATTTGTTGTGGGCACAATTTTGAGAGGACTTTTTGGGACTTTGTTGGGAGAGATTTACTCACAATATTAATTTGTCCCACTGTGGATGAAATAACGCAAATGTTTCACATCGTATGTTGCGCTGGCGTCTGTTGCAGATGTGTTGATTCGGTGCTTTGCTTGCTTACAGCCTAATGTGAGATCTGTTGGATCCTGGTTGAATTTCTTGTTGCATTCACAACTGGTCCTAGATTTAAATTCCCTCTTTGCGAAAATCTCTCCCACAAGGCAAATCAAGATATTGTGAAGCACAATTTGTAGCACAACAAATTTACAAAAAGTCAAGTGAACACTTTCTTGATCCAATTAACCTTCCTGGTATATTCGTGTATATCATGCAACGCTCAACCTTTATGCTAAATCTGTATCTTTTCATTGCAGTTATGTTCTAGGAGGAGGGGCCTTGTGCATGGAGCTTCTCACAAAACAGGTTTGTAAATGACTTTGATACATGGCATCGCATCATTTTACTCAACATACGACGGCAGAATGAATGTCTTTCTGTGTGTTTTCAGGGCTGGAGCAGTGCCTATTCCATAGAATCTGTCATTATGCAGATAAATGCAACTTTGGTGAAAGGAAAAGCCAGGGTGCAGTTTGGAGCCAATAAGGTAACTGACGTCGTTGGTCCGGTCTCTGTCCGATATTCAGAGCATGGACACATCATCAAACAACTATGTACTATGTAATGATATAAGCAGAGAATGATGTCGCTCTCCCTCTGCGTGCGTTGTTATCGGAGCTGCTTTTACGCAGCCGGGCTGGCTGTGCATGTGTTTAGTGCATGTGTTTAGTGCATGTGATCGCGCCCCACTCGTTGGCTCAAGGCCAGTCAGCAAAGCACAGAGAAGCTCGGACTACAACACCCACAAGGGAGAGCGACTTCCTTCTCTGCTCAGGTAGACATCATTACGATATAATAATGATATGCTGCTATATTTCTGCTCTGAATATTGTATAGAGAGCTTTTCAAATGAGCACGGTCACACATGACAAGTATTTTTTTATCATAGTTGAATTAAATCATAGTCACACCCATCATTTGTATCTTCTATCCAGATGATTTAGCTGTAGAGGAAATTCCATCAGACCGAAAGATGGCGAGAAACAGTTCTAGGAGAGAGAGAAAGATGCCAGATACCAACCAATTTCTGTGCACCTAACGAAACATTGTTTGTTTTTCAGAACCAGTACAATCTTGCCAGAGCACAACAATCGTACAAATCCCTTGTGCAGATTCATGAAAAGAATGGTGAGTACATGTTACTGTTGGGCCTCAGTAGACACACACAGTGGTTTGGATCCATCGGCAAAGGGGTTTGTCTTTCTGTCTTTACAGGCTGGTACACACCACCTAAAGAGGACGGATAAGGAGCTGCTACTACTATGCACTGGGAACATGTCTTTGGGTCAAAGTATCTTGTTTTCTTTGGAATCCCCCCCCCCCTCACCCCCCCTCTGACTGAACTGGGAATATATCATCTTCCTGGCGGAAACCATCTTGTTGGCTCATCTGACAAGTGTTCCTTCGCCGCGGTCCAGTAAAGACTTAATTCTGGTGTCACTTTGCTTCTCCCCTCAGTGTTTTAGTAAGGAGGAGGACGTGAGGATATCACTAGTCCTTCTAAATATGCTCATTTGTCTTTAAAAAAAACATTTCTCCCTTTAATTTTGGGGAAGTGCTTTTTCTTTAGCTGCTTTGACAAAGTGGGCTTCACGACGAGTCGGTTCCCCCTCTAGATGGGAATTTTAACGGAAGTCTGATACTGAAGCTCTCGATGTGGCGCCTCCCTGCACCTGTTTTTGTCGGCCACATTATCCCCTTTTCTTCCTTTTGCAAACTAACTGGTACATAATTGCAAATATTATAAAGATATTATTCAGCTATTGTTTTTATTATTTGAGCATCCTAGACAATAAATAAATTTCATATTTTGGAAGCTCATCTTAAAACTGAGATGAACTTCCACTCGGTGTCTTTTAGCTCTTACTTTTTAAAACATATGAAGAATATCGGGCTGAGCAGAATTAAAATGCTGGGATGTTGTTGAACTAAGATTAACTGTTGTCTGTGAACAAATCCACCAGTAGTTGATAATAAAACAGGGCCAATGGGCATGAAATATCTCAGAATCTCCATGTTGCATATCTTGGGAGGAGAAAACAGAAATATTTTCACCAGATGTTAAGATGGCCGTTAAGTCGTCATTTTAGAAGTTTTAACACGTCTAAAGAGCTTCTTTTTTGCCTCATATGTTACTCCAACAGTCCCGCAAGCGCTCAGTTTGGTTATTGGTTGTTATATAGATTAAAGCTGCAGAGGTTGATGCTGAAAATGACGCCCTGTGTGTGTAAACAGCATATTGCAAACGGGCCTTTTCTCAACCGCCGTTATAAAAGGTAGTTTGATTTCCAGCAGAATCGCACTGGGATCGGCTTTACAGAAGGAATAAATGAAATTGTGTTTAGATGTGTTTTGGATTTTTTTCCCATAATATCGCTCCAGTTTAGCAGCAAATTAGTTTTTCATATCTTTTGACATACATGGGTTGTAGTGGTTTGCTCCCCCGGCCCAGTTTAGGTTTGAAACTGATTCCCTGTTACGTGACGTCACGCGCAGCTGGCTTCATCTCCTCTCTGCTGTTTTCGCAGTCAACAGCTTAAACAGCCACCATTTGCAGGGCTTCCTTTGCCCCAACAATGTACATTCAGAAGTGAACTGAACCTCTCTGATATTGTACGTTTCAACTTTGACCATGCAATATACAGCAGTAGTACTTCATCACTGCTACTGTTCCCCATACTGCAGGACACACCGTATCTATCAATCTGTCGGCTCTTTTGCAGTTTATTTGTTAACACTGTCTGCAAAAGTATGTTGGAATGGCAACTCAGGTAACAAACAATACTTAGGAGGGGAATCAGTACATGTTGAGTTTGTGGATTAATTAACGCTCTGTACTGCTGACGTTTAGGCTTACACACACACACACTGATCTGATGTCAAAAACTGATGAACTTTACAATTATATGGGCCACGTGTTTCTTTTAATTCAAGCAATGTTAGCGGAAGGACTTTAGCAGAAAGATGCCATTTTAACAGGATTGCAGTAGGATGATGACCACCCCATGTAATGATGTCCCACTGTAGTATTTAATGCTTTGTTTTTGTTTTTGATCCCAAATACTGAAGTAGATTTGATTTCAGCATCTGATCTTTAAATATTCCTGATACATAAAAAAGCATTTGCACAACTGGCAACAACGTGCCTGTAGAGGTCAAATATGTCAACAAACCCATTCTGAGCTAAATATTTCAACATCAGGAGAAATCATTTTTTTCTCAGCACGCATCTCGTTGTTACACGTCTGATGAAGCTGAGCGGCGACGAATCGTCAGGTCTCAATAACAAGAAGTGTCCTCATCTAAAGGGCCGGGACTCCCGTCAGATATCAGGAGACCATTCAGAGACATTCACGCTTCTCAAACTGGGCTGTGTTTTGAAAAATATTAATTTATCTCAACTGTCAATTTATTTTTCCAACAAAACATGATCAAGTCTGGCACCGTTGGCCCGCTTTGGTTTTCTTTTATTTCTCATTTTCCATTTGAAGAAATTTTGACCATGTACAGTAATTTGTAAACTTGCATCAAGTTTATGAATAAAGAATTTTAAGAGTATTGCTGTTTTACTGGTTTCCCTGTGTATTCATTTCACTGTTGCTTAATGGATTGCCGATGTATTGGGCCGATGTTGATATTTTATTTAATGAATAAAATAATTTACCGCTGTCACAACTGTCATACTGATTTGATTTTGTATAAAAGTGTTGTTTCCTGTCTGACAGCCTTGCAAATCTGCATCGGAGACTTTCATCGGTCTGGGTTTCATTGAACATTTGCGTTTACAATGACTTGGATGACGAAGCATAAGAAACAATTGCCATTCAAGCACCTGAAATTTAAATCAATATGCTATTAAATAATTGGAATATAGTTGCAATTAGATAAACATCCAACTCCACAAACCCTTGATTAAATATATATATATATATTATTACTTTATTTTAAAAGTTGCTCATTTTTTGTTTGTTTTCCCTGGAAAGTCCAGCAACACCTGTCTATGAAGCAGAAGTCCATCCTCAGCTTGGTGAAGTGCATTAAGTAACTGGATACATTAAACCTGCCTGAGCAACATGCAACATTTTTATTTTGAGGGAAGACACTTTGAATTATATTTAAATCGGTATTAATCACGAGTATGAGTAGTTCACACTGTATCTGACTTTCTGTCAGTTTTAACCAAAGGCACAATAATTAATTCAAATGTGGTTGGAGGGCAGATGAAGCTTAGAAACATTTTAAGAATAGAAGGGTTTTATACGTTAGCTGTATGCTCTTATCTGTTCATGTTTTAAGCTTTGTGGCAGGTTTTTAGTGTTTTTAAGTTGTTTTTCATTCATGAAAAGGTAAAAATCACCTAATATCACCTAATATGGAGGTTCATGTTCCTTCAACATGTACAAAATCATCAAATAAACAGGATGCAACAATAACTTTTTAATATCTATTAGGGTAAGACCAAATAATACAAAAGTAATACACAAAAATGTATTTCTCATTTACTTCACTCATGGAGACACAGCCTCCTCGAACCTTTCATTCACCTAATTACAACATGTTTCTATTGAATGTGTTTATCCATGGCAAATATTTACCTCACCTCAAGTCATCATATATTTATATCTAGTTATGATATAGTACATGATAATACATATCAAACAACATACAGTACATGTGGGAACATGGGGGAGTTCATGGGAAATGGCTTTCAGAAGCGTTGATACAGCAGCATGAAATGCAGAGTATTAGTAGTTGTATCCAATATGCACTGCAGCTCCTGCTGCATGTTAACTATACAGCTGTAGTTCCCATAATCACATAAGATGTGCTGTATGTACATATGGCAAAAATAATAATAATTATAAATAATTGATAACTGTTCATCTTTGTGCAGACTTCACACTTAATTTATAGAACCGATCAGCTAAACGTTGTGCATTTGCTAACAGGTGAGCGTGTGGATGCTACAGTTTACAGGGTTATACATAACTACTGTGTGCATCTGCTGGTGAAAATGTTATGCATTTGTTAAATTATACTAGTGGTGTCCAACTTGAAAACAGAACGATTTTTCAAGTATCAGCAATTTATGTTATGGTCCTTACTACTCACGTCTATATTTAAAGCCTGCACAACAGGACCCCACTTCATCCTAATTACTGTTTAATATATGTATGTTTAGTTTGCACTGATGTCAGCAGGTAACCCTGAGCAAAACATTATCCATTTATTTTTTTGATTTATTAAAAAAAAAAAAAAAATCTGTTCCCCACAGCCATGGAAGGACATGTGCTTCAAACTCATCCACACATTGTCCAAAATACACAAAATATAATAGATAACAGACACAATCTAATAATAGATTGGTACAAAAAACAACAAACTAAAAAGTGAAACAACAGGCTATTGAATACCACATCATCACAATCTGACAAGACGACTCACAGGTTTTCAAGTAACGAGCATTCGGACACGAATCTTAACTTCTGTTTCAAGTCTAATACTGTATTACTGTAATAACCATCTACTGAGGACGTTTCCAAAGAAGACTTGAGTGACACTGATATCAATATGACACTGTCTCTGACTGACTGGCGACACATAAATATTCTGTCTTTCAATTTCACTTCATAAAGAAATGATTGGCTTGGATTTTATATTTTCTGTTATATAAATATCATATCACACCTACTCACAGAATAACACCAACAGCCACGAAATGACACACTAAGGCCTAAAATCCAGAGCTTCAGGAACAAGTAGTCATTAAGCATTTACATGTACGGGTAAGTGGGAGAATTTGCCAAAGTTGTGAAAATATCCATCACTTCATACAATGCGATGACCACCTACAACAATGATTATTAATATTTACTGCATGTCCAACCTGCAAGTGTTTTGGTTTTTCTTTCACTTTTAACCTGTACAACGTTGATTTGGAATGTTTTATCCAATGAACTGAAATCCTAAATACTGCATGTGCTTCACTTTAACATGTAATGATTATTCATTTCACTGAAACCAACTCGCTAAACACATAACCAATGCATAATGACTAAACCAAACAGAATGGTTGAATAAAGGTGATTAAAAGGAGACAAATGCCCGACATGTTGACACTTTCAGGGCTTTACTGGTAGAATTTAAAATCAGCCATCACATCTTTCCTGAGAATGTAACAAATATGCCGAATTTAACTGAGAGGTTCACTGATGCAACTTCTCATCAGTGAAGAAAACAACAACCAGGTCACCAAAGCATGAACTTTCCATGATTCTTTCAAAGATTAAGATTAAGAGTTGTGGAAATACCTGCTCGATACATGTTGTGCTAGATATCGCTTCCAGCAAATGTCTTCTGATTTAAATTATGTTTGAGACAAGTTTTCTTCCTGTTAAATCCGATTATTTTTATTTTTTGAAATGCTACTTCTGTTGTCAAGATTTTGGCCTCATTCAACTTTTTCTTTTTCAACAAAAAAGTAACAAAGTTTACATACAAAGTAAGACAACAATTGGCCGGTAACAAAAGGATATGCTCCTAAATAATTAACTTAAAGTTTTACTGTACCCTAAACTTAATGGACTCGTTTGACATAGAAAGCAAAGAAGTGTATTTTGTTGACCCATCCCTTTGACAACACACGTCAGCTGAATATTAAGCAGCTGCATCAACTAAGGGTGGCAAATATTTTTAGCATTTGGTGACATTCAAGGCTAATGAAAGTAATCACTGTTGACAATATCGCTACTACAGTACATGAAAAAACACATTAAATGTAATCAAAAGAAGTTTTAAAAGTGTGACTCAGGCAGAGGCAGAGAGGTCCCTCTGATGACCACAGGTGAACCGACCTGAATAAACTGATGAAGCTCAGGGGATTGTTTTTAGCTATATTATGTGTCTCCGTTGGAAAGCAACACACACACTGACCCGCTAAAATTGAGCAGCATAAGAGATAAAATAAAAAGAGCCAGCTTAATAGCTGGCTGTTGATTTAAATGTGAAGTGACTTAAATATTACCTCCATGTATGTCAGAATTCAATAAGAGTACACTTCTGGTTGAATTCAGCGTGTACAGTGTTATAATGAAGGGCACCTAATTCTGAATTGTGTTCTTAATTGATCCCTTTTTATCTCTCCCACTCGGCAACCCGGCCCCCTCCTCTGCCCTACATCGGTTCGTCGTAGTTGTAGGTGGGAGCTGCTGAGTATTGGTTCTGCTGCACGGCTCCCTGCGCGGCTCCCATGGCCGCCTGCTGAGCCGCCTGCTGGACGTGGGGGTTCTTCCAAGCCCCGCTGGCCCACTCCTCCTGGGCCTTACCCATGCTGCCACCAGTGCCACGGTAGAAGTTATGAACCTGCAAAAGAAGTTGTTATTCAAAACCAACGGCATGTGGCCTGGAAGACGAGTGGAAAATGTTTTGGATCGGGGCATATAGGCTACAAGTCTACGACACAGGTTGCGTCTGAAATTCCATACTAACATGCTATTTAGTACGCTGAAACAGTATGTGAGATTTTAACAACAACGTTCATAGCAGATAATGGCTCTGTAACATCACTCATTTTAGCTTAAAGAAGTAGAAATATATAAGTCACCTTTGTCAGGGCGATGAAGGAGAGTACAGCCACCGCAGTAAACATGATGGTGGGAATCAGCATCACCACAGCTGACCCAATGTTGGTGTTGAAGAAGGTAATGGTAGCCAGCCAGCCACTGATGGGAACAACAAGAGAGTTAGTAAATACTCATGACCTCATGACCTATGACAATGCAAAATTGTTTGAAAATATGTGTGATCATTGGTTTACGCCAGACGTTTTCTAACTGTGCGGCGGGAGTTTGGGAGAGTTCAAGAGGGGTACAGAGGGAGACACTTCAGGCAAAGACATTGCATGATGTGAAAGAGACAGGTGCATGCTGGTGCAGTTAAGGTACTTTAAAACCCGTAGCACCAAAACTCACACTCCTCACACTCATCTGAGTCATAACTAAGTCAAATCTGAACACTCAGATATGATAGAAGTGTTTTTGGATTCAGTGTGACTTACGCTTCCCCAGGATAGCATTATCTCTCCATCAAAAAAATAATCAAAAATCCAAATATATTTTAGAAGAATGGTGTTTTTTTTTAATATCTTTTATTTGTCACCCATCTGTATTTACGCTTCATATCAAACATATCTGTGTTTGTCAACACTCTTACCACACTCCCCAGCCTGGAATGCCAACAGTCTGGATAATACTGATCACCACCTGCGCCATGAAGACGAAGAAGAAAGCCATGAAGTTGAAAGAGCTGTCGGTCCTGCATGGAGAGAATAATAAACATCAAGACTGATGTGATCCAGCAGGACAGCAGGTAAAAGATGTTGAGTAAGCTCAACGTGGAACCAGCTCACTTGAATGCCTTGTAGATGGGCCTGAACCAGCACACGTAGGAGCAGGGGGTGAAGAGGAGGAGCCACAGGATGGCCATGCCGAAGTTGGTCGCTCCACCTCCTCCACACATCCACGCCAGACAGCCAATCAGATTAAAAGCCAGTGTGGCGCTATTCACTGTCAACATCAGAGAGAAGGAGCAAGGATGACCAAAACAAGACAGAGTGAAGACAACAACCTCCATAGTGAATATCCCGCAGGCTGCATTAGTCATAATTCAGCAGGACTGACTCACTATGAATCTCAGCTAATACTCAACACCAGAAGTCCAGTTCTATACTAAAGCTATGAAGCACACACAGCACACCGTTTCTACTCTACAAGTACCAAACAGTTTGTTGAGACTAATCTCCTTTTTCATCAGACTTACATTCCTGTTTTCAATTGGCCGAACCTATGTGGTGATGAAAAAGACACCATGATGCTCACATGAATACATTTTGACACATTACTTTACTGTTGCCACTAAGAGCTGTAACTATTGTTTGTTTTCTTCATCTTAATCTTGATCTGCCAATTATTTTTTATATTAATAAATAAGTCGTTTAGTCTATGTAATGATTGAGATGTCTTCAAATATCTTGTTTTTATTTCAACCAAACCTTAAAGATATTCAATCTTCAGTGACTTTCAACAAAGAAAAGCAGCAAATTCTCACAATTAAGAAATATGCTATTTTTGCTTGAAAAATACCTCAAACTAGTAATTTGCGCTCCCGTTTTAGATTTGTAAAGATTTTGTTTGTCAAAAGAAAGAGCAAAACGCAAATGTGTAAAACTAACTTAGACACAATATTTCAATCCATGAATACAAATGCACAAGATAACGTAAAATATATTCTCTGTGACAGTGAGACTGGTTAATCTGGTCTCACAGCTATACTGGAGTGTCTATGATGTTTGGCTCTCACGATGTTTTGGGTAAAACAAAGTGACACGGCATAAGAAACATAGAATCCGTGGACAGGTTAACAGTTTATACCACGACGCCAGCAACACACATGAAACTTGAGTTGTGGTAAAAGATGTTGTACATGCAATACTGTACTGCAACTTAACAGTCAACACAAACTTTCACTGCAGGGGCACTCACAGATCCATAGGTAGTAGAGCCTTTTGCACATGGTGCGATGCTGGTCTGGGATCTCATTGAAGTCTTGATAAAAACATGGCCTGAGGGGGATGAATCGAGGCAGGGGAGGGAAGTTGTTTTCTAGGACACAAAGACACAGTTCAACCCAGCGTCCCACACACTAAATTCATGAAGAAATCAAGACAGCTGCATGAAGGATTACAATTTATAAATGGGTTGTTTTTGTGCAGAGACTCACTATCTAGTTGAACAGAACGGAAAAGTTTACCTGCCATGATGACTATTCAGTATTTTCCTCCACAATCACACAGACTTTGATCTCAGCTGCCTTGAAAACCAGACTGCAGAGAAATAACAGAGCTGGTTTATTAAGTGCAGCATCACTCACTCACACTGCTCTCCTTGTGGGCAACAGGGCCACAATCATCCACAGGCCTTCCTGTGGATGCATTCACTTCACTGCAATAAAAGAGTTTATATCCCTGCATGGTTATATTAGAGGTGGTGCCCAGCCCTTTCGGTGTATCCACCCCTATTGAAGCATCATTCATTAACTCGACAAAACAAACACGTTTTAACGGTAGCACTGTGTAATCCGCGCGGGTGGGGGTGGTGGGGGGACAGTGTGGCCTTGTCGCGATTCCTAAAATGAAGGCTATTCATAACCTGAATATATGAACGCAAAATAGGCGTTACAGGCCTACAGAGTTTACAGATTGGACTATCTATGACAGAGATGTTTGTCTAGCTCTTTAACCTGCAAACACGCTGTAATGAATCACCCTAAACGTCACTTGAGTGGGTCTGTAATCCACATTTCAATGCATATGATGGTGGATGGGGAGCATATAGCTCTGAAGGGCATCTTTCGACGACAGAATAAAGCAATCTCTGCCAAGAAAAACAGACTGATCCCGGTTGCTTTAAATGCTTTTAGATCTTTAAACTGTCCGCTATGTGCATTTGTTTCCGCGGATGGCAGTGATGCTGCAGCAGGGCACAGAGCATCGTGATCACAGGCGGAGGAGCGTCCTTCAGCCTGTGCGACACAGTGCATTTGGTGCTTCCTCTTCATCCCGACGCCGAGCAGGTCAAGCCCAAACTCCCCACAATAAACCACACAGGATACAGATTTCTAGGTTTTTCTGAAGCTAGAATCCTGTTATTTGAATAGCCTAAACCCCCCCCCATCCTGTAATCTGTAATAAATGAAAATGCCGTGATTAAAGCCTTACCTCCAGTTTAGTCAGTTTAGAATCCCTCCGTTCGTTTGAATAGCATTATATGGATTAATCTGCATTAAAACACAATGGAGGAAACGGCCAGATCTGCAGCTGCTTAGACAGAAATATCTTACGTTATTCCTCAAATGACGGGTTTGGGAGTAAGGGGCGGTCACGTGACGTACGGTCTTTTCTTTACGCGCATATCTCCCCTCCTCCCCATCCGCTGGTTTTACCCGCCCGGCAGGACCAGGGCCAAGAAAACAAGGGGTTGTGTTGCTGGCCTGATCCGACCAATCAGAAATCAGGAATATTTCAATAAGTCCCGCCCCCTGATGCTGTCCACAGTGCTGAAAATCAAAGAGGGCATCACACAATCTGATGTGATTGGCCGCCTGTTATCACATTATCAAATTTACGAAGCATACTAATGTCACAGATACAAGTAAAAAGATGTAGCCTATCTCAGTATTAGGCTACTCTGAGGGAAAATAATAAAACGTAATGAACAGGATGCATAGCCTAAGATAGCAGAGTATACATTTACGACTTTTTTAGACATTTTTTGTACCCAAGTAAGAAATTTAAGGCAAGTGTATTTTTGTTGCACATTTTAAAAACAAAGGCAATTCAAAAAACTTTCCGTGATGCGTAAAACATTGAAACACAAATTGAAAGTAAAGCAAACATTTTGAATCAAATAGGTAAAAATAACTAAATAAATACAAAATGCATAAAGATGTCCGTGCAAGGTGGAAAAAAAGTGCTCAGGGTTCAGTGAAAGGAGGTGGTAAAACACAAAAGTTTGCAGTAGGTAGATTTATTTTGACGTGTACAAAATAATTAGAAAACTAAATAAGAATAACCAATAACAATAACATATCAGCAAATTCTCAATAAACTATGTAAATTATTAAATATTAACACATACAGCCCTCCCCCCTGTCTGAAAGCATATTTAGTATGTCATGCTGGAAGGTTTTGTTTGGTTTGTCTGTGCAGGTTTGTGACATAGGTTTGGTTTAGCTCGGCCTTTTCCTAACAAAAGCCTTTAGCAGTCAGTGTCATGGTAAGCTTTGGGTATAGACTGTAAACGGTCAGATGTTGCTGCTCAAGACACACAAAAAGAGTTTTAAATCAGATCTGATGTCAGCATTAAAATAGTCTTCAGGTGATGTGTCAGCTCTGGACCCAGTAAGGGGATGTATAGCATGCCCTGTTTTGTCACTAGTTGAGCAAGCAGATTGACATCTTGAGTGCCAAAAATTGTATTTTTAAGGTGAAAATTAAAACACGCACACACTGCGTGTATCTACATCATGGCTACAAAAAGTGTGATGCAATTAAACAAAGTTTGCCTGAAAGTGTGTGCCTTCTTTCACAAAATGTACCGTGCACTTTTGGTTGATCAGTTTTGTTTGACGCCCCTGCACCTGACAAAGCACGGCTCTGAGCAGCTGTTTTTGCAGGAGGAAGAGTGATTTTGTTTCAGCAGTGAAATTTAAAAGGCTCTCTGGACATATGTTGAATGCTGCTTTCACCTTTCCTCGTACATTTCTAGCTATAGGCTTCCGGAACATAATAGATACACTGTAGCTTCTTTACATTCTATTAGAATGTAAAGAAGCTACAGTGTTGCCTTTTCTTTTCTTTCCACAAGAACGTACTTTTGTCAGGTTGATAAAAAAATGTCACTTTACTTCCTGACATTATTGTTATTAAATAGAACGAAGATGAAAAACTCACACCAAACATGTATTGGCATTTTTACCAAAGTTAGTTGTGTGCTCGTCCTCTGTCTTTACTGACACACCCCTTACGCCTTTCGACTCGCTTAAACTGCCACGTTTGTCATAAATGTCATAATTCCTATATTTCTACGGGTCATGAACGCAGCAGTTCGTTAAGCTAACGTTAGCGCTTCCTGCTATGAGTTGAGCAAGACTGAAGGTAAGGGAAACACTTATATAAAACTAGTGTTTTTACTGTGAAATAGGTATGTGTGCCACCTGGATGTATTCTTAATATGTTCAGGCTCCCACAGCATTCCGGTAATGCTGTATATGTCATCAGTGACGTTATTCAGCGACACATATGTTAGCAGACCTTCACTTGTTGTAGCGTTAGCTTAGCTAATGTTAGCTAGCATAGCTTCCTCACACCCTGCTACACTAATCAAGAGTTAACTTTAACGTTACTAGATAACCTGACGCAGGACTCATCCAGGAACTTCCGTTATTTAACGTTAAAGCTCAGGAAAAATAACTGTAGCCTTTGCTGGACTTTTTGTGTTCGTGTCAGTTTTTGTTTTGATGTTGACCTAAAAAGTTAAAGGGACAGCAGACTATTGATACAAGTAACAGAGCTCAACTTGGCTCGAGCTTATCTAGGTGTAATGACAAATTTAGTTTCTCTGTCAGAAAATGTCTTCCCTTCAAAGTAAAAGAAAATTAATCTGTTGTCATTTTGATATTAATTCATCACGTTAAGCCTTTTTTTTTTTTTTTTTTTATGAAAAAAAAAAAATGTAATTTCTTTCTGTGGTTCCAGCTTCTTAAATGGGATGATTTGTTGTGTAGTAAATAGTAAATTGACTATTTGGGGCATTTGGACTGTTGGTTTGAAAAAAGTATTTCGTCCCTTCGAAATTGTGATTTGCATTTCTCACTATTTTTCAAAGATCATGCAATTGATCAATTCATGAGGAAAACAATCACCAGATTAACTGATAATAAAAATAACAGATTTTAATGAGAGTGCACAGTTTGGCACAACACACCAGTGTTTAACTAATTTCTCTTCGCCCTCACACACGTTGTCGTGAGGTGTTTGCTGTGCGGTTTATTCTTTGGCTGTGTTATCTTATCACCTCTTGTCTTCAGTGCTGGGAATGCAGCCGCCGGTCCCACCTGAGGCAGTCAGAGAGCTGGTGTGCTCCTGTCTGCACAGAGACCCAGTAGCAGCAGACCTCCGCTGCAGCCTGTTTGTTGCTGCTGCACAGACCTACAAGAGGGACTCTTTGCTCAGACCCTTCCCCCCTCGATACATAAGTGGTGACAATAAGAACTTTGAGGAGCTGGTGAGATATATATATATATATATATATATATACCGACAGCCACACGTTTTTAACACTCTCTATTGTAGCATTTATGCTTAAATGTAAGCTTGTATTACATGTATTTTTAGGGGTATTCACAATGACCATATCTCCAACATTTGATCAAAAGGTGTTGAGACCATTTTGCTTTGCAGTATACATGTATACTGTGTATTACAGATTTGTATCTTAGTTTCTGTGGGCATTGTCATGATATAGAATGACGATGCCCACATTGACATTAACGCAGAGATGACCGCTCTGTTTCAGAGAGATACATGGTCCAAAGAAAACACAGCTTCACATGCAGTGAAAGGGAAGACAAGACCTTCTAAGTGTGACTACTCTTGTGGCAATGAGATCAAAAAAAAAAAAGTGAATTTTCTTCTCTAGTTGGCAGATGTGCACTCTTTGCCTGGTGTGAGAGAGTTGGTGAGACTACGACCCAGAGACGGAGCTCATCATCTGGCTCTCACACACTGGATTCTCTCTTCAAAGAGCTTTGCTGTAAAGACACTACAGAAAGATGAGGTACACCACTACAAGTATAAACACAGATATGTCTACTTCCCGCTTTCTTTGTTTACAGTGTGTATTTAAACTCTTACCAGTATGCCAAACTTTGTAACCTCACGGAAATCGATGGGCTTTCTGCGCCTGTGCCTGACTTCCTGTTTGAGTTGGAGTACTGTGATCAGATGAACGCCAGGTTTGAGAAGACGAGGGAAGGCAGAGACGTCTTCTATGCATTCCACGGGAGCCGTCTGGAAAACTTTCACTCCATCATTCACAATGGGCTGCACTGCCACCTCAACAAGGTTGGTGCAGTCATCACTGCTGTTGAGATGTTCTGTTGTTTCTGCCCGACACTCTGGTTTATTGTCTTCATATCGTGTGCAGAACTCGGTGTTTGGAGAGGGGACCTACCTCACCAGTGACCTCAGCATGGCTGTCCTCTACAGTCCACACAGCAGCGGCTGGAGAGAAAGTCTTCTGGGCCCACTGCTCAGCTGTGTTGCCATGTGTGAAGTCATTGATCACCCGCATGTTAAGTGCCAGGTGAAGAAGAAAGGTGCGTGAACTCTGTGACTCGCAGAATAACAAAAAATTGTAAATCCTGCAACACAGATTTTTTTTGAATCACTTCATGTCAAAATGAGCCACTCATTTCCTAATTCAGATTCTGAGATCATTGACCGTCAGCGCTCAAGAGCAAAGAACAGCGAAGGAGGCGACGTACCGCAGAACTACTTTGTAGTCACCAACAATCAGCTTTTGCGAGTCAAATACCTGCTCGTGTACTCTCAGAGGAAGCACCTGTCTAGGTAAGAATTACTTGACAAATTACACATAAAAACATTTATTTTGAGGGCTGTGCAAACGTCTACGACACTTTTTCATACATGTAAACCTAAACCAAGGAGATGTATCATGATGTTATTCATTATAAATTGAAAAACATGCTTGTGCTGCCCAGCAGGACTCGAATACTTAAAAGGCGCCCAGCGACACGATGTGGGAAAGCTAAATGTTTTAAGTTCAACAAAAGCACAATGTTGTTTTCTACTCAACGACGTAAAAGTAACTCGAACAAGATGAAGGAAAGCTTCTCACTGTGGTCAGCGGTGACGATAATATATAATTATGTACTTAATGCAAACACACTCGTGATCGTCAGGCTTGTGACAGACGAGAGGCTTTTGGTTGGTGCTGGTAAACAAAAGGTTATTTTTGTGTTTTTCTTCTTCAGACGTTCCCGCAGCACCTCCTGGCTCCTCAGCCACCATTTTGCCATCATGATGAGTCTCTACTTCCTGCTGCTCATCTTCATCGGTGCCTTTAACTCCACCACCTTCGTATCCTTTTGGAACAGACTGTTTAGGTGACAAGAAAAAATGTTTATTATCCACGGTGCCTTCGTGATCAGAGACTGACGAGAGGCCGGAGCAAAGATCCAGTTTTATGCACCTTTTATACTGACTTCTCTCTACAATCATTGTTACGTCTACAAATAACCATAATTGCTATTATTCTGTTATATGCAGTTATAACCTATGTTTTCAAATGGCAAATATTGGGATCCATTTTTTTTTGAAATGGATAATAAGACCATTCTGCATTATGAAAATGTTATGCAATGTTTCACCTGTAATTAGTTTGTTTTAGTAAACATCCTGTGTTTTAGATAAGATCTGTTGCTGTGTGGTCTTTCTAAACGAAGTGTTCAAAGAATAAAAACAGCAATTTGTTTCAGTAACAAAAGAGTCAAGTGATAAGATCTGTTTTTGGTTTATCATGTATTAAAGGTGCAGTGTGTAGGATTTGGCGGCATCTAGTGTTTAGGTTTCAGATTGCAAGCAACCGCAACTTTTCCCGGCGGCGTGACGGGTAGCTTCGGTGGCCGACGCAAAAACACAAATGGCTCTATCCAATGTTTGGTTTGTCCTTTATGGGCTACTGTAGAAACATGGCGGACGGCTCCATGAAGAGGGCCGACTCCGTAGGTTGATATAAACGGCTAATTCTAAGGTAACAAAAACACGAAACGATTGTTATTTATACTATATTATAATATTATATTCCATTTCTGCCAATAGATCCCACCTAAATGCTGCACACTGTTCCTTTTATGCACTGAGAACTTTTATCACATTAACTGATCATTAGTGTCGGTGATGCAGTCAGTTGGTCCGGCACTAATGACAATGTCCCAATTTAAATTCTTACTTTTTAATGATATGATTATGCATCACTCAGTTATGGGTCGGGACATTTTTTTTTATAACTCATGATTTTCGTGTAATTTTGAGGTATTGAATATAACCGCTATTAATAAAGAAAATATATACAGTGGCCATTTTGTTTGTGCTGACATACTTTATAATAATAATGGATCATAGAAAGGCCACAGATAACCTCACTGATAATGATTTAGGATATGCTTTTATATCCTTATATTGGTACATGAAATAAACTGTATGTCCGCTCAAAGGCATGAGCTTCTGAACATTTGTTACACTAATAAAGCAATACTTGATTTCATTTCTTTTCAATGAGGTTAGTTTGTTTGAAAGTTGTCTTAAAGATCTTACTGTGGTTGACTCTAAAGATTTATCACACAATATTCAGGCGGAGGGAAATCTCTACAGCTGCATCCCGTACATCCAAATTCTACTTGAAGGTCACTCTTTCATAATCATCTCTTGTACTTTTCTATTGTTTTGCGTTGTATTCAAACTTTAACATTCTTCTGACGGGGGCACATTTATTACCGCTGGCACGCAGACAGTCCTTTGTTATGCGTTGTTTTTATCAGTTAAAAGAAAGTGAGACGGCGATATGGGATTGATAACAGAGGCGGCCTGCTTTGGTGACAGATCCTGTCCTTTTAAATCGACACCTGATATGCGGATTGGTTTCCACAGTTAGAACAATAAATATACCAAAAGAAGAATAATTTCAATTGTTTTTTGTATTCTGCCATAAAACCTAATAACGACTATAACAACTAATTAACTGAAATGATGAAATTAGTATTAGATTTACACATTTTACAAGCAGGAAAGTTTGTGAAATTTTAGTATTGAATATTTTATATATATTCTGGTAGGCGATAGTATCCAGACTTGTAAACAATTAGAGTGCCTTGTATTTTACAATGATTCCATTAATCTAGTCATAAAGCTTGTGTAACACAGAGAACAGACACAGGACAAGGAGCTGCACTTTCCTCTCTTCTGTCCCATTAAACACCAGACAGTATTAAGATGTCACCTTAATTTAGTGATGCAAATGACTAACAAGTTGAATGAAGATGAAAGAAAACGCAAGCCTTTGTTTTGGTATAAAAAAACGGTTCCTTCTTGCGAAACCCTTCAGATAAACTGCTTCTCCTCTTTAGAAGTGGCTCACATTGGAAGGACACAGAACAAACTGTCCATTGTTGGTCCACACTTTAATCCCTTTCTGTACGAGCTTCATTATTGCTGCCTCATAAACCGTCTGTTATTCAATAACCATCAACTGTCAGGGGGGCAGCGATGGCAGAGGGGACTCCAGACGCTTCCCTTCTTCTGTGAACCAGAAAAACTCCCGAAATAGGAACAATTCAAACAGAAGAGAGGAAGCTCTAGACTGATATGATGGTTTAATTTACTACATTGTTGTACCCAAATTATCCCACTTCATTTCTCAGCCTCAGGAGTTCTTTTTTTGCTTTACTTGTTGCATGAGTCCAAATTGGTTCAATCATTGATGGTTTAACATTCACTATAAAGGGAGTTCTTTGTAGAAGACTGAACTTGAGAAGAGGATGCTCTGCTTAAAATGCTAATACAACCATGCTAACATGCTGCAATGGCAATGTGCCTGATGTTAAGCAGGTATAAGGTTTATCTTATTTACCATCTCAGTTTTGCATGTTAGCATGCTAGCATTTGCTAAATAACACTAAACATACAGAACAGCTGAGGTTGATGGGAATACCGATAGTTGTGCAGGTGTTTGGTCATAAAAGTATTGGACACATTAATATTGTGTCCTCATGATGGTTCTACATGAAAAGTAAGATGACTAATCCTGAATGGGACATGAATGTCTGAACTGAGTTTTATGGCGATCCATCTAAGTTGTTGAGGTATTTGGGTCCAAATGGACAAAAGGAAATATTTCCTGCAGGAAGACACACACATATACACACAAAAGATACACTCAATATGTAAAAACTATTGCTAAAACCCTCAACGAAATCAAAAACATTGCCATTGTTCCCTCTTGATTAATGAAATCAAAGTACAGTACGACATATCGTTTTTATTTCTCATGATTTAATAATACATTACATTTCATAGGTTTTTATTCAGGTTTACATTGTATACAACATGTTGAATAAAGAAGTGTATAGCTGCCCTTTTCTGTTTTGCTACATGAACTAGTGAAGATGTCCTCTCTCTACATAGAGAACTACTTGGCTGTGTTTGGACAGGCTGGCACCAAACACAGAAAATGCCCCTCAGGATGACTCTACGGAAGGAAAAACAGAAAGACAAAGTGTTGGATTAATGGGGGAAGTGCTTCGACGCAGTACAAGCGTAATGAAGAAACACAGTTTATTGATGTAGCTGGTGCTTTTCCTCCCAAAATACCTGCAGGTTGTTGTGGCATACGGGATTACGAGTGGCTCTGAGGTGATTGTGCACACACTTTCCAAAGCGTTGCAGGCAGGGGGAATCGGAGGGGGTGCAGGTCTGAGGGCATGATGGGGGTTTCAGCAGCAGACAGCTTGAACAGGAGGTGTGTTGGCAGGAGCCCTGGCATGCTGTCTTTTCCAGAGACACAGACCTAAAGAGCAGGAGATTTAGATTTCTGTTAAAAAAATGCAGCAGGAGAAGATACTAAGTGTAAAACGCCTTTCTTTTAAGTCACCTGGCAGAGCAGACTTTAGAGGGGTTGGCCTGACAGTATTCCCTGGTGCACTCTGGGTGACAGCTCTCTGGATCCAGCGATTCAATCACTGCACAAAACAACAGTTTCAAAGACACAGAAGATGTACTTGCAATTCACAATTCATATTAGATGTTTCAAATTTAATATTTGCATCTTTTTTTCCCGAGCAGCAACACATCACGAACATCTCTATAATCTCGTACTACGTCTGATACCGTATCTATAACAGTGACCACTCTGTTCCCCATGAGGAGATAAGAGGTGTAATTACGGCTTAGCTTTCAGCACAAACCTTTGAATCAAAGGAAGCCTTGACCACACTATCAGTCTTCACTGCTCATAAACAAGATGTACCACATTGGCAGCGTTCCCTCTACGATGATACTAAATAATTCAGCTTTTCAGAGGAAAATCTTGTACTTTTTACTTACTTACATTTATTTCACAGCTATAGTTATTCACAAAACCAGAAATACAATGCATTGCTAAAGATTACATTTTCCAACAGTATATAAAATAGTCAGCTGCAACATTTAAATTAATCTGTAATATTAGTACGATGATATAATACATGTAACACTAACAGGAGCAATCCTACTGCATGATGGGTACTTTTAGTTTTGATACTTTTAAGTACATTTGCTTTGACATATTGACTACAGGACTTTTACTTGTAAGGGAGTATTTATACATTGTGATATTGCTGTTAAAAACATGTTTTTTTGAGTTTATATTGACTTGTTAAGATTGCTGCATCTTTTTTAAAATACATTCAATTAATCTGGTGATTAATTTAACAATAAATGTGGCTCACTGTGGCATAATATATGGATCAATGATTAGAAAGTCATCACATCCCCTGCTCGATCCTGCTGAGTTTATAAACCATAATCTCACCTGCTCTGCAGATGCCTTTGCGCTCTGCGTCTGGTTTGTCAGCTGTTGCGTCCTGGTAAACACACACCAGACCCTCATCACACTTGCCCAGATAGTCCCACGTTCCTCCACAGGTCTCCCCCTCTGCTCTGGCACAGACGGGGCAGCAGCCGCACACACCCGTCGTGACACCCCCTTTACACTGGAGCTTCAGCGCCCGTCGGGAGGAGCAGTGTATCCGCTCGCAGGGCGGGCAGTGGAGAGCCTGAAGCTGCTGAGCTGCTCCAGAGGAAGTTTCCTGTTCCTGTGAACTGAACGCCCCCAACAAGGCACTGAAAAAGAAGAGCATCCACATCCTCTATCAACCTGTTATCCTGAGGTGAGAACACTCGACAGCAGCTTTTTATATTTAGTTGTCTGCGCCTGGGATAACGCAGCAGCAAGGCTTCATAGTTTATGAGCCACAACCTCCACCCCCCACCAGCAGCCAATAGATGAGGCCAGAGGGGTTTGCTCCCTCTAAATACACAGTTAACTAACTATCCCCACGTCTTATCTTCACACTATCAACAGTGGGATTTTGTTTTGACATAATTCTTCCTTTTGAACACCTGTTAGATAAGTCTGATGAAGACTGGCCCCCTTTGTATTTGGAGTCACATGACCTCTGGAAGGGGCAATTCAGTGCACACCTACAATCAGGTAATGACCTATTTCTTGAAAGAACAAAAGGATCAATTGTGTACACAACAGTAAAAGATGACTACTGTCACTATTAAGTTACACTGGAGGTTTTAACATTCTGCTTTTTATCTGGCTTCCTTCTTACAGGGCAGCACAACGAGCAGCTAAAGAGTGTATTTCAGGCATGAGGGGATTATGTGATCAAATAATTACCCTCTTACTCAACTTAAAAAATGTACATTAAATATGTTTTTATTTCTACAGTAACTAGAGAAAATGCTTTACACTTAAAGAATAAAGCAAAGTATTATGTAGCTAAATTAAAGCCATAATATCACAAAGTAACCACATATTTGGCAACGTTACACTATTAGATAAATAGAAATGTATCTGGTTTATTAAAGTCAATGATTGTGTGTTGTAGATTTTGAGATTACACTAGAAACAGGCAGGCGAGCACCTGCCTTTGTTTACACTATGACTATACAATACTTTTTTCTATCCTACTTAAAATGTGTATTAATGTTTGCAAAATATGCGCCTGTTTTTGAAGGTCACATGAGTTAAGAATGTTCCAGAAAAATATTGAAAAAAGTAATAATTCTGAAAGCGTTTAATGGATTTGATCTTTAAATAAGTAGTTTGAAGGAATAATAATCATCGCAGGGCTTAAAACTTCATTGGCTTTCAAAATGAGATGGCCGTGTGTTTACCATAAACACCACAGGTGTTTTAAAATTAAAATTAAAAACACATTTTAATGAGTTGAGTGGCTCAAAAGTGTTCATTTTGACGGAACTCTTTAAACATGTGCAAAGGGAGCCCCTTTAGGGTTCGGTAGTTTGTCCCAACAGACACCTTTTCACTGCAGACAGGTGTAAATAATAATATGAACAAAGGACGCTTTCAGATCTTGAGTTCTTCGTACTTGGAACTCACAAGTGAGAATACAAAATTTTTGTATCTTCAACATTTTCTCAGTTTACTTCTTTAAGGTTTATTTTGGTGCAGTTCCCAGAAGACTCACAGGAACAGCCGTGGATAGTGTTCACTTTAAAGTTTAAGCTTCTTCTAATAAGAGAAAACACATACACACATAATTCCATTAAATCACTTGTTACACTGCATACAATTACATACATTTTCTCATTATAGTTACCGAGAATGTCAACTCAAAGATCCACTTACTTACATGTTTGTTGTGGAGCTATCAGCCAAATCACATGGTCCTCAACAGCAGACTATGTGCTGATGAGGACAGTGTGATACAGTTAAAAGCCCAAAAACAAATGAGTAAGTGGCCTTTGAGTTGAGGGTTTGTTTCCGAGGTTCAGACATGTCAAACTCAATTAACTTGTTTGCTTTAATTACTATATTGTTAAACTGGAATAACCAAATGAACACCCATTTTAACATAAATGTTCATAAATGTAACCAATGTTATGCATTTTAATTATTGGTAGGAGGCTCAGAGTCGTATAAAAATGTATTTATTTTCAAGGAAACCATTGAGTAACACTGAATACAACAGGAGTGATCATTCAATAGTCAATAAAACTTGTGACTCCTACATCATAAAGATCCCACATACACGACGTCTTGGAAAATAAGATTTCAAAGCAAACATGTTGGCAATTTGCTGGTGCTACAATTTCATTCTCCTCCCCCTCCACCCCACATAACAAATCAAGGTGATTCACACCTGTATAGAAAAGTGACAAGATTTTACATCAACTTACAAAGGGCTGGATGTCAAAGTGCAAGATTCCTGAACCCCCCCCAAAGGACTGTCAAATACAAATCTCCAAATTTAAAATTCAGCCATTATGGCTTTGTATTCAGTTGAGACATAAGTCTAGCTTACATTATATAACTTTAAAATATTGTTTCAGAAACATTTCCCCCCCCTCAAAGATACTTCTTTTTTTTTTTTTAAACTGCACCGTATTACAGACAACTGCATGTAATGGAGTAAAGCATCACAGGAATAATGCAGGCATACAACAGAAAAGCAGCTGTTGATCAACAACTTCAAACAAAACTCACTAACATTTTGTTGGTTTATAAAAGCAACCGAATCAAAAGAATACTAAAATCTGAAATGAAAATAAAATGACTTAAAACCCTCGAAGAAAAAAAACAACCTATTTACACATATTTACAAGTAAATAGAGTGAATATTATACAGGTTTGACTGTCCGTTCATGGTCAGGCTGAAGCCACCAAGGTCCATATGATCCAACACTGCATGACATTCAGTTTAGTTAATCCAAAATGGTTCTCAACAGACCTTCCAGGAGGCCGCCTTCAAAGTCGCACTAGAAACAAACGAATGAAGAGTCTGCCGCAGCGAGTGCTTCTGCTTTTTTCAGAATCTGGCGTGTATAAAAACATCCAGGGCTTTTTGACTCAATCATAACTTTCAATGTTTTGCATAATTTAAAAAATAACAATGGCAATGTTTGCAAAGAGAAATCCGTTGAGTATATTCTTCTGGGAGTCATTTTATCTTCTTTCCAATGTTGATACCATCTCCGACCGAGAGACGAGCACACGGTCAGTCTGGAGGAAGGAGGTTGTGCAAACGAAACTGCTCTCGGATGTGCGGTCTGACATCTTCATTCTGTGATAAAGAGAGAGACAACCGATCAAAAAAAACGACAAGAAAATGAAAATGTATGATGTATTTTACTCTTCTATCTGCCGACGTATCTGTATAATATTATAGGCACCGTGTGTCTGTGCATCCAATCTTGAGCCTCTCAAAGGGAAAGAGCAGGTCAGATATTCGGAGTGTTTCCTTCAGTCTAACTAGACGGAAGTCGAGATACGTACCAGCTCCACAAGCTTCTCGAGGAAAGGAACGAGCTTCAGAAGCTCGTTGTCATTTCTATCCACAAACCAGCTCTCAATAGGAATTCCATTGGAAAGCTACAAAAGACACAAAACCCCAAAGATCTAGCGTCACTTTAACACAGAGACACGATACGACAGAAATAGTTCACTGGTTGGTGTGAAAGGGTTTTACCTGATAGGCAAAGGCTTGGGGTGAGTTGTCGATTATTATCGTCTTAGAAAGATCCCGTCCGAGAATGTTTAGGTCTTTAATATAATTTCCTTGAACACACACACAGTGCTCACGAAACAGCCTGTGTCTAAAAAAACGCAGAAAGAGAGAATGGTGGTGAGGTTACACGCAGTACTACAGCTTCTCAACAAGTTCTTGAGATTAAACAAACTGGTAACATAATAATCATGGTAATCATAATATGGAGTATTTAAAGAGAGAGTGGTGATAATCTTCATTTATTCGAAAAAAACAACAAAAAAAAAAAAACAGCACAAATACATTTGACGGAGGGTTTTAGGTTAAAGGACGAGAATGTACACTTCTAATGGCGGAGAGAAGAATGCTTCTTTAAATATTCGTACAAACTTGAGAAGCAGCATTAACCAGTGGTGTGTGATTACAGAGATCGTCTGCTTTCTATCAGCTAAACCGGTTCTTCCTCTCATTTGTTCATCTGACTAAAGGAAGAGGAAGCTTTCCACGCAGACAAAACACCAATTGTTTTTTATGTTAAGCAGCATTTTCTTCCTCATTTATTTGTGCGACTGTTTATAAGGTTGGAAAAGAAAACAGCAAAGAGCTCGGGCCTTCTTTGTCCCACTGACAAACTTAATATGTTTATCTTGTATTACTTCCCACGGCTTTACTGTAGTTGCACCGGCTGTTGAATCATTGTCGTTTACTATAAAAGCTGCTTCAGAGTCTCCTTTCGTCACTGACCTGACCAACTGTTTTTTCGGATCCAGGATGTTGAGCAACTTGTCGGCGTACACTTTCTTTGAAGCCGTGAAGAGAATAATCTGAAATTGTAATGGACAGCAGCAATAGATGAATAGTAAGTACATTTAGAGCCGTCAGATTAAACAGATACGTGTCAAGTCTCTTGGAAATAGAAGCTGCATCTCACCTCATACATTTGAGACATGCGCTCAAGAAACTCTCGGAAAAAGGGCCTCAACCGAACATACACCTTCAGATTGAAAATTAAGAAATTTAAAATCACAGCAGCAGGAAAATGGAGACCTTTAGATGAGAGAATGACTTGTAACAGTCTGTACCTGGTATATAACATCTTGGAAGAGCACAGGGAATGTCAGGGCTGCATCTTCTAGCTCATTCAAACTACAGTGGACCAGAGTTTCATCCTGACAACAGAAAAAAAAAAAAAAAAAAAAGAAAAAAGAAAAAAAAAAAGAAAAAAAAAGAGAAAATCGAGAAAATGTAGAAAATGTAGAAAAAAAATCCATTGAAGTCTACTTACTTTTAAAACGAGACACAGCACAAGAAACCGCTCACTGCTTACCAGATCCAAGACGAGAGAAAACTCTGGTGTGCTGCGTGTTTTCAGAGGTAACGCTGGTTTGCGTGTTAACTGCTCTTCTGTCAGTGGAGGCACGTGCTTGATGAAGAAGTACCTTAAAGCAGAGAAAACATAAAAAGACCCCGATTCAACCAAAACACAGAAGAAGAGGTGTCCAAACAAACAGCAACACATTTGGAACAACATGCAGTGCATGTCATCCTGGCTGAAATGGGATCTTTCCACCACTTAATAAAGGGAGAATGTCTGCTCCAATTTGTCTTTGTCGCCATCTAGTGGTTGAAAATATCACATTGCAGCAACATGCAATGTCACCTTGGAAGTGAGACTATATGGAGGGTGTTGTCAAAAGTGCAGAGTTGAAACTTTACACAGAATCGGTCTTAATTTACAGTTCCTTATTTTGTATTCAAGAGCTACTTTTTATGACTAGCTCCTTCAAAATCAATTTCAACTTACGGATCAAAAACTTCCCATTCCTCTTCGTATGAGGTTTCTGGAGGAGCTGAAGGTAGCGCATGAGGGTAACCGCCGCCTGGCATACAACCAGGAGCTGAAGAAGACAGAGAGATGGAGAAAGAGTTCAAAAATATATATATAAAAACAATGAAGAGCCGGGCACATTTCCGTTCCACGAGCTTCTGTAAGTCAATCTCACATTCAACATCTCGGACGTCGGCCTCTCTCAAAAAATGAAGCCCGTTCTAGAGGCTGACTGTTCATATTCTAACACAAATCAGCAAACCATATCAAAGCCGGCTCAAATAAATAATCAGAGCTGTCTGCAGTTAGTATTTGTCTTCATGCGATGATGGTCAAGAAAGTTTCCCAGATACAAAGAACGAGGTCTAATGTGAAAGTGGCCATACCCGTTAATGGTGGCATGTCTGTTTCAGTGGCTATTTGTCCTTCTTCTATGGTTGTATCGGAGGTAATCTGAAGCCTCTGCGGTAACACCGGGGCCGCGTGACACGGAGTGATGCCCTCTGTGGACGTGAGGGTGCTGCTCGCCATTTCTTCTGCCGGCTCGATGTCCAGCTGCTTGATGGTTTCCTCTGCCTCCACCGCTTGGCCAGGAGAGTCTGAACCAGGAGTGGCTGAATACGAATGACAGGAGCAGTTCAATTCACATGTCACAAAAGGATTTTGTTTGTCTTTTAACCAATCTGAAATATTAAGACATTTTGTTTTACCAGTTTTAGTTGCTGGTGAGAAAAAGTTGAAGACCGGAGAGAAGATTGTGCCGAGCAGGGTTGTGCGTGGTGGGCTGCTCGCTGCCTCAACGGGGACGTCCAGTTTGCCATTCGGCTTCATGGGTTTACTGTTGCACGTCATTGTGTCTGGAAAAAAGACAACTCTTTAATAATAATCTCAAAACAAAACATCTGGATAGATTCTATGTATAGATTTCTGTATATTTTTTGTTACTTTGGACGCTGTTATTTGTTATACAACAGTTCTTTCTCGGTACCTTTCTCTGGACTTTTCCGGCAAACTCTGGAGACTGTTTTGTTGGAAAGGCCTCTAGTCTGTGGTGTTGAAGTAATTAGATCGCTCTCAGGATTACAATCAATACGACTCCTCTTTGCGGGGATATCCGGCTCCACCTGAGACAAATTTTAAAAAAATCTCCAATTTATTATAATGAGAAATACAAATTAGTAGTGTTGTAAAAATAAGTTATGAGAGCATATTTTGTCACAACAGCAATTACATCATTGTGTTTCATCAGTGTGTCTCCATCCACATGTAAATACATGTACTAAATGACCATTTATAATGTATAACAGCTGTAAGAATGAAAATAGAGTCCACAAAAAATTACAAAGAGCCAGTCGGAAACAGTGTTGGCTGTGTGAAGACGTTCTGTTAAGTGTCTCAAAACACTACTAGCTATTATGTGTGAGTCACTGTTTCAAACTACCAGCACAAAATGCAGATGAGGCACTGCTTTCTCTGCATAAAGTAAGAGTGTGTGCTCATACACTGTATCAATATGTTGCAGCAGCAAAAACAAACTTGTAGAAAGAGCAGCTGGGAATTCTGATGTAAGCCCACCTTGACAGCATTTCCACGGATGAATTTCTTGATCGTGGAGAAAAGGCCTGTTTCATTCTTCTGCATTTTGCCTCGACCTCTCACCGGGGACGGCTCCACTTCACGGTGTTTCCGTTTGGCCTGGGACGGGTGTGTTCGACGGCCAAAGTTTGGCTGCTGAGGAGCTTTACGCACTCTCAGCTTCATCATGCTCCAACGTCACATAGAAAAATCTGACAAGAGGGTAGAATAATAAGTTAGGAAACATTTGACTAATAATGGAAAAAAAACGTACTCTGAGAAATATAAATGTGGGTCTCTACAAAACCCTTTTTCACTGAACAAAAGAACAAAGTTGTTCAATGTTACAGGTTGCTCAACCACAAGCAGCTTTAGAAGAAATGTGACTGAATAAAATGGTCTAAAAATGGCAAATTTGGATTAAAATCAGGAATTATATCATCAAATAAGTAAACAAGATTATGTATATGACTGGATATTTGATGACAACTTACTGTAGTTTTTGACACTTAGTGCTGCGTACAAATATATTTTTAGTCATTAAAAGACTTTTGTACACGACTATGGGCACAAGTTGCTGTCACCACCTAGTGTGTGCCAGTGGAGTGGGCGGTGTAACGTTACGTGAGAAACATGAATGGTGAACGGAAATACGAGGCCTTTTAATACGTTCAACTTGAGCGGGTGTTCATTACAAAACGCTTAAATAATGCACGTTTGGTCAATTAAGCTGTAGCTTTGTTCGCCATTTGTTGCTAAATTAGATCTGGTAGCATACCAGTGTCGCTGACTGTTACGTAACGTCGTTGTATAGCTGTAATAACACCAACGACGGAAGCTATCGCTAATGTTAGCCAGCTGCTGGTGCTTAGCATGAAAAGCCCAGCGTACAGCCACCACTGGTTTAACGCTGGTGTTCTAACTAAGGTGGGACAGGACTATCGTTCATTATGGATAAAGCTGACATTGTCAGCTAAGTATGTCTGCTATCAATCAGAAATAATTTAAACGTAACTTAAACCAGATGCGGTCAGTGGGTTCCGTCGCTAGTGAACAGAAGCGGCTACAGTTAGCTACCAGGCTAACAAACGCCAATGGCAGTAAAAGCAAGGCCGTGCCATTATTGACTTCAGTTCTTATGGCACTTCTCACATGTGTCCCCGTACACATAGCTTTTTTTAACATGGAAACTATGCGCCAATACATCGGTAATATAAAACAATTAGTCGGTTAGCTACCGCGTCATTTTGTTAGCTTCCATAATTATTTTCAGCCATTAGACTACGCCCCCTAGCCGCTAGCTAGCAGCAGTCAGGCTATCGGTGGGGGGGGGTGGGGGGGGGTGCAAAGCTTTTTTGTTTACATGTTGACGTTTCGTTACTTACTGATGATCTAGGAAGCTCCTCAAAACTAGCCGCAGCGGCAGCTCTCGGCCGCGACCGTGGCGGCCACCGGTAGAGGTCGGCTCCGTGGTTGTTGCTGCCAGCTGTTGTGTCCGTCGCTCGGTAGCTAGTCACAGACCAAACATGTCTGCGGACGCCATTTCCCGCCTCATCACAAACATAACGTTGGTGATGCGCAGTGGAATGCGACACACACACGTACGGTACGGGTAACCAACGTGGCGGAGAGCGGAGTCAACAGAGAGATGGCTATAGTGGTGAATGAGCGATGCGATGCGCAGCTGGATCGAGACTCACTACTGCACTTGATCCCTGCTGGTATTGTTGTGAAATACCAGCAAGGAATCTAAAAAACATAAGATGTAGTCTGGTGCTCGTATAGATGCCCGTATTCTGTTGCATTGTTTGTTAATGCAGTAGCTGACTTGGACCAAAGCAGAAGGACAATGAAAAGGTCTCTTTTTGCAGCTATTGTTTCAACTTTAAAGTGTTTGAGAATGACACTGGATCACAATACACTTTTTTTGTTAGCTTTACTCGGTAAAACTGCTTGATGTAAAATAACAAAGTGCAACAAGTTTGAAACTATACAGAGTTTATTTTTTTATCAGCAATTTTAGGTTTTAATTATCACCGTAATTTATACACAGTCATTTTATGATTAAAGAGCAATGAATACAACAATGAATTTAGCACCGACCAAGATGATATAACCACCAAGATGTTTATAACTCAGTTAAGCACGAAACTATTTCCAGCATGGATGTTGAAGTGTAAGAAAAGCACTGTGTTGTTTGCATTGTAATGGTCAAGCATTCCCAAAAGACAATCAGTGGTATAAAATGTTTGGTAGCACAAATGATTAACAAAAAATACATTTTGCCTCCCTGTAAAATCTAGAATATAATTTAAAATCCTTCTCCTCACCTACAAAGCTCTAATTGGTCAGGCACCAACATATCTTAAGGAGCTTATAGTGACCATATTATCCTACTATAGCGCTACGCTCCCTGAATGCGGGGTTACTTGTGGTTCTTAGAGTTTGAGATGAAGTAGAGTACTAGAGTACAGCTTCCCGTTTCAGTCCGGGGGGCAGACACACTCAGCACATTTGAGAGTAGGCTTTATACTTTCCTTTTTGATTGTGCTTAAAGTTAGGGCTGGATCAGGTTTGCCTCGGACCAGCCCTAGATATGCTGCTATAGGCCTAGACTGCCAGGGGACTTCCGAGGATACACTGAGCTCCTCTCTCCTCTTCTTCATCTCCTTCTGTATGAATTCATGTGACATTAATGCTCATTACTAACTTTGCTTCTTCCCCGCAGTCTTTGTGCTTTCTCGCTTTGCAGGTTTCCATGGATCACAGGTACACCTGGATAGTGGTCTTGCCTCCTGCCATGGCCCTGCTGACACCCACTGCTACTATTATTAGTCACATTACTATTACTGATACCATCAATGCTTTAATTATCATTATTATTCTACCATATCCACTAATGCTAATGTTATTAGTGGTCGTAATTTTTCCATCATTATTCTGCCTACTCTCATTATGTTGTGTTGTTCCTTCTGTAAAACATGACATCTATTGTACTTCTGTCCATCCTGGGAGAGGAATCCCTCCTCTGTTGCTCTCCCTAAGGTTTCTTCCTTTTCTCTCTGTTAAAGGGTCCCGGGACAGAGGATGTCATATGTGTGCAGATTGCAAAGCCCTTTGAGGTAAATTTGTGATTTTGGGCTTTACAAAATAAATTGAATTAAATTGAAAAGTTTAGAGATGATCACAGACAGTGAGGTTTCATTTCATTCCAAGATGAAGGAGTTTCCTGTATGGTCCTGGTCCACCCCACAGGCCCCTGACACAAGACAAATACAGAACATTAATAAATTGTGGTTTGATTATTTACTACCAACTATTAACATGCTGTTAATTAACTTTATACATACCGCAGAAGCCCATGCCAATAGAGGTGAGGCATCAGATCAGCTTTCATGTAGTACATAAGTCTTCTTTCTTTGGCTTGGTTGAAGGGAAATGTTTCCAGTGGTTGTCCATTGTAGTCAAACTCTGCAAGAATCACTGTGTTGTAGCTTGTAACCAAGGGACACGAGGTGTAGCCATCATACTGTAAACAAGGAGGTTACTGATTATGTATTTGCATAGTTTTCAAAAATCTAAAGAGATGAATCAAGATTGACGTTTATGTGTCACTTACTATCTTATCTGGCTTCTCATTTTTCAGTACTTTGCTGATGGTTCTGTTCAAGATAGCAGTCTGTGCAGCTGAGAACAATAAAATAAATGGTAAAGTTTTATAATACATGTGTAAGTTCTCTTTTTTATCACCAAAGATGTGACCCAAATGATCCATCCTACGTACTAATTATGTACAGTGTGTACTACAAACTGTCATAGTACACTGTTTTAGCAGATAGTATAACAAAAATAAATATACCATCCTCTTTATATTAACAGGACATGACACATTATGTGCAATGTTTACACACATGCTAGCAGCCCCCGAGGGGCCGAAGTAATAAACAGAAATAAGGAAAATTGTTGAAGCGATAAAAATACAGAGGCAACATCAGGTGCCCTGCAACTAGTGGGGCATACCATTTAAAGTTTGACATTTGGTAGTGTGAAATAAAATGCAATGTTTTTACCATTCGCACATGCATATCCATTATCCACTTATCATGCAAGATGTCGGAGGGGTGGAGCCCTTCCTGGCACACACTGAACAACAACTGCACACACTGTGCAGCTTATCACTGAGCTGACAAACACTCACAGGTACAATTTAGAGTTTCCAATTCACCGAACAGGCATGTCTATGGACTGTGGATCCAGAGGAAAACAGGGAGACCATGCAAACGTAACATCAGCGGTGTATCACAAAGTTTGGCGCTTCATATGTTAGCTTTCACCGAATCAAAAGTGTATCCTCTGTTGGTGCAATGTTGAAACTAATGACACGAAAATCACTTACCGACAGCCGCAGCCGTTCTGATTGTGGGCAGGTTGGTACAGTCTCCAATCCCAAACACGTTTGGATATCTCTTATGTTGGAGGTTGTCTTTGTTGACATCCAACCAGCCAGCCTCATCTGCCAGAAGACTGCCTTTAATCACCAAATTGGGTCCCATTGGTGGTGTGACATGAAGCATTTCATACTGATAAAGAAAAACAAAACATTTTCAGTTATTCACAGGAGTCTCTATTTCTAATTTGGCAAATATTTAGGTGCAAAGAGTGAAATAATGCCCAGTGTATTAGGTTGTTCATAACATAAAAGGCACAACAGACAAAACCTTCTTTTAAGGATTTAAAGAGGAAGTAAATAACATAGCACAGAGTGTAACAGGTTGTCCAGTGAACACAGCAGTCATTAATATATATGTAAAAGCTACTGTTGAGGGACAGCAACACAGTTACCTCAAGCACTTTGGTTTCACCTGGTTTGTCAAGATTTTCAAACACAGCTTCTTGCTTATCTGCTCGCACTTCAATCAGGTTTTGCCTCAGGTTCACTTGTAGGTCTCGTTGTTTCACAATGTCCCACAATGAGTCTGCATATTTCTTGATCCCAAAGAGCACAGGCAGCGATGTATTGTATATGACATTGGCTTTTGCCCTTTTTCCTGTCTTGGATAGAAATATAAAAACATCTTCCTTTACTTTGGAGAACCACATTTCAAAATGTACTA